AAAAAAAAAAAAAAAAACACCTTAGAAATAAACTTTTGAGCCATTATGATCATTTAAGGGAGGAAGATGAATGCAAGGATGCAGGGGTGGAGGGGAAGACAAAGCATCCTTATGGACAGGAAGACATTAGCTAAGGCTACTTGTTATAGTTTGAATTGAATCCCAAAAAATATGAGTTATAAATTCTAATCCCTATACCTGTGGAGGCAATCTTCTTTGGGAATAGGGTTTTCTCTGTTATGTTAATGAGGCCATATCAGTGTAGGGTATGTTTTAAACCAGTGGCTTTTGAGCTATAAAAGAGCTTATTAGGCACTGAAGAAGCAAGCACAAATGGAGTGGCACGTGGAAAGCACCAAGAAACACCAAGAAGGAGCCTGGAGAAACTGAGATAAGGATTTTCCCCCACACCTGAGAGAAAGAGAGCCTTCCCCAATAGCCCTGAACTGGGAGAAAACATATTTCTGTTTGTTAAAGCCAGCCCCTGGTGGTATTTCTGTGAAAGCAGTCAAAGAATCTAAGAACTACTCCTGCTGTTATCACTACTCTTACTCATCATCATATGGATTTTCTTTGACCTTTGGTTTATCTTTCTTTAGTTTATAGCTGGGGACTCTCTTGCTAGTGGGTTGGGAGCTTAGCTGCAGCAGCAGCTGTTACTACTTATTGAACACAGACATTCTGCTAAGTGCTTTACATGAATCAGCCCTGCTGAGTAAGTACTATCAATACCCCCATTTTATGGATGAGGAAACTGAAATTCGCATCAGTTTGCATTTTGCCAAAACTCACATAGGTAAAAAATGACCAGCCTAGATTTCCATGTTGTTGTTGTTATGTGCCATCGAATCAGACCCGACTCATAGCGACCCCTCCTTGGGTTTCTGAGATGGTATCACTATGGAAGTAGATTGCCCAACCTTCCTTCCAAGGAGTGTTTGGTGGATTTGAACTGCCAGCCTTCTGGTTAGCAGTCAAATGCCTTAGGCACTACGCTACCAGAGCTCCACATACACATTCTAATTTCATCTTCTTAACCAATGAGAATGATATTTTGTTGAGAGCTTCTGGTTTCCTTAATTTCTCAACAAAGTTAAAGTCTATTCTTCCAAAAATGTTCTATGATCAATAAAGACCTTATTCCTATGAGCTCAATACCAGAATATAGACAACTTCAAGACCACCTTACTGGCAGTAAAAATAAAAGAAAGGGAAAAATAAATGTAGAAGTGTCTAGGAAAAGAATGCAAGCGACTCAAGCCATAAATGGCAGGTACTCTACCTACAAACACCATTTTGAATATTACTTCAAAATAATTGAATTATAAACTCACACAGTCTGTAGCATTAACTTCGATGCCAGCATCAAGTATCATTCGTACAAGAGCTTCATTCTGCTTTGTCTTTGATACCTGTAACAAATGGCAAATACAAGAGAAGTTCGTTTAAAAACATTTTCTCCACCTTACATCTGAAACTATCTTAAACAATTAATTAATAGGCTTCATTTTAATCTCAACACCCAGTACTCCTATGCATTATTCTTAAAATGTCCCCACCTTGTCAACACGCAACCCTCCCCTATCAATTAGTGAAAGCTGTGGTTTTCTGGAGGAGCCCTGGTGGCACAGTGGTAAAGCATTCTGCTGCTAACCAAAGGCCAGCAGTTCTAATCCATCAGCCACTACATGGGAGAAAAGTGAGGCAGTCTGCATCTGTAAAGACTTCAGCCTTGGAAACCCAATGAGGCAGTTCTATTCTGTCCTAAAGTGTCACTATGCGTTGGAATTGGCTCAACAGTGATGGGTTTGGTTTTGGTTTTGGTGGTTCTCAGAGTGCAGTCCTGGAATAACAGCATCAGTACTTGGGAACTTATTTTAAATGCAAATTACCAACTTGGCCGCAGACCTGCCAAATCCTACTAAAGATGGAGTCTTTCTCATCCTGGCTCAAAAACCTTCAATAATTTCCCATTCCTCTGAGAACAAAAATAAACTCTGCGAATGGCCTGCAAAACCCCATACATTTCAGCCTCTGCGTGCCTCCCCACCCCCCGTTTCATTCTACACCTCCTGACTCACCTTGTCCCACCCTGGCCTTTTGTCATCTTTCATTGTGACTGGGCTCCCTCCTGCCCTACAACAGTTGCACAGGATGCTCACTATCTAGAAACTTCCTTCCTCCCATCTTTGGTCTATTCATCTTTCAGCTCTCAGCACAAGCACTCTTTCCCCAGGAAGATTTCGCTGACCTGCCTGCCCAGGTAAAATCTCTCCCTTCTAGGTTCTCATGTACCAACCATCTTCTCTGTCTCCACTGCTTTGTGGTGACGTGTTTGTGTCATTATCTGATTAATAATATTCTCCCCCACCACACACACCCTTTAACTCTCTTGAGGAGAAAGACTAAATTTGTTTGCTCATCACTGTATCCCTAACACCTTGCACAATGCCTGGCACACTGTTGGTCCACAGCAAGTATATTATGAATCATTAAAACAAATGAAATCTGCTTTTCCTCCCTAGTCAGCTGACACTCCTAGCACATGCTGTGGGAGGCTTCCCCAGCATTCTGTTACTGAGAAAGCACAGCTCGCTCTGTTCGCGTGTCCTCGCCCTGGAGTCCAGCTCCTTTATTTTCTAGGAGTCCCTGAGTGGTGCAAATGGCTAATTCACTCAGGTTCAAACCCACCAGCCACTCCTCGGAAGGAAGGTTGGGCAATTCTACTTCCGTAGTGATACTGCCTTGGAAACCCAACGAGGGGTCACTATGAGTCGGGGCCGACTTGATGGCACATAACAACAACAACAACAACAACTACCAAAAAGGTTGGAGGTTCAAATTCAGCCGGAGACACCTCAGAAGAAAAATCTTGTTGCCGGGAGGTAAACTTTAAACCTTACACCTGAAACCAAAAATCTCCCCTGAGGTCTCCTTTAAACCAATCAGTAAAGAATGTTTGCCTTGAGCTTAGTGGTCTTTTGAAGAGCTCTCTTCACCGGATCAAACTGACAACAGCCAGTCAAAAGGTCAAACAAGAAGTTCAGGGAGATGTGAGTTTATGCTAATGGAAGTGGAACAATTTGGAAATGGAGGGTGAAAAGGGTTGTACCACTTGAAGAATATAATCAATGTCACTGAATTGCACATGCAGAAATTGTTGAATGGGTGTATGTTTTGCCGTGTATCTTTTCACCAACAATTTAAAAAAGAAAAAAGGAAGAAAACCCTAGGGAGCACATTTCTACTCTGATACACCCTGAGTTGGAATCAACTTGACTCCAACTAGTTTTTCTCATTTGTTTGCTACAGGAAGTTCCCTCCAGTTGATTCTCTCCTCATTCTTTCCTCCTGTGTCAACTTCCTAACTGCCTTTCTCCTCCGGCTCCTCCCTAACGTAAGTCAATACTTTCTGGGCTCTTCTCCCCTAATTTTCTCTCATGCCGACTGGTCCATGGCTCATCTATATTTTCAGGTCCCATTAATCAATAAGGTACAAGTGCAATTAGAACTGGGGATATTCATTCCACTTAGTATAAATACTTATAGTGTTTTTGCCTTTGTCTAAACATTGAACCATCTTAAGATCAAGGTTGCATGTCAACAAATTCTGAATGAACTTGCTAATCATATCTGTGATTTTGTTGTTGTTGCTGTTGCTCAGAATTTGAAAAAAGTCTGTAAATAAATGATAAATTTCCCTACCCTGAAGCTACAAACATTCAAATGCTATGTACTAAATGCCCTGAGTTAGCAGTTAACACACTTGATTGCTAACCAACCAAAAGGTTGGAAGTTCGATTCCACCCAGAGGCACTTTAGAGGAAAGGCCTGGCAATCTACTTCTGAAAGGTCACAGCCATAGAAACTTCATCGAGTATGATATTTTTCTGACTCACATGGGGGTCACCATAAGTCTGATTTTACTTGGTGGCAACTGGTGGGTGATATGTACTAAATGCACAGTAAAGTTTTCAAGCACTTTTCAAGTTATAAGTAGGTTATATGTTTATCAGTGAATTATAGTTTCTCTGTCTCTCATAAATATGAACATTAAAATCAACATTGTTGTTGTTGTTATGTGCTGTCGAGTCAGACCCAACTCATAGCAAGCCTTTGGGTTTCCAAGGCAGGATCACTATGGAAGTAGATTGCCCAACCTTCCTTCTGAGGAATGGCTGGTGGGTTTGAACCTCCAGCCTTCTGGTTAGCAGTCAAGTGCCTTAGGCACTGTGCTACCAGAGCTCCTAAAATCAACATTAGTGTATTTAATTACATTTCCTTAAATTCTGTAGCATATTTAATACCCAAGGAAGCAATAACATCTCCAGTTGGTAGGCTTTCTCCTGGTGCTTCCATTACCAGGGACAACTAACGTCCGTGGTCTATTAGCTAAGTGAGGGAGCATGGTTATTTGACTGGAGTGAATTACAAACATGGTGGAAGTGACCACAAGGGGAAACAGAAAGCAAAAAGTAGATGAGTCAGTGCAAACCTGTCACTCTGCTTGAAAATAAATAACCGATGCTTCAGCATCCACTCAGAGTATGACTGCAAGCCTATAGCAAACATGCTTTTCAAGAACATTTCTTCCTGTCAAATATTCATTCAAGCATGAATAAACCCATCAAGGTGAAAGATGGGCCAAACATTCTGTATAAAGATCTTCTATGTTTTCAAATTCTTGGGATCTGTTCTTTAACTCACAGCCAGGGTGGGTCCTCAAAAATCAGAAACTCAGAAATAAATGGACATAAACCTGAACTCTTCTTACAAAAAAAGGAGAAAGAAAATAGCAGAAAGGGAAATTGTTGTCAGTGTTCAGGATTTTTGTATTTCCTTTAGAGATGATTTGTCATCAAAATTAATTTTTTTTCTAAATAAACCTTGCACAGATCATCTTACTTACTGATCGACTACTTTTGCTACCTTTCCTCTTCCTTTACTTCAAACATGTATGTTGGAAATATCATTTATAAAGTACAAGGGCTTATTTCATTCTTATTTCTTCACCAACCAAACAAAACCTGATGAGTCATGCTATTGCCGTTCTCTGTTTGCTCTAACATGAGCTGTACTTACCATGAGGAAATACCCAATAAGCAGAACAGGCATTAAGAGGATGATGAGCAGGTAATCAAAGAAAGTAAATCTTTTCTTCACAGCATAATGCAAGCAGGTTCTCTCTTTCTAAGAATTTAAAATAATAAGATTTTTTATTTTAAAAATTCTCACTCCAACTTTCTTATTTTCAGATAACAATATCAAAAAGTTTAACTGGTGCTTTTTTTCACTAGCCCCTCTTTCTGTCAGGCATGTCTGATCAATAAACTCTGTTTTCCCATTGGCCAGAATATTGAACACAGGCCTATTTTAACAAAAGCCATGGAAGGACTACAGAAAGACCCAAACCAAACCAAACCCACTGCCGTTGAGTCAATTCTCACAGCAACCCTTCAGAACAGAGTAGAACTGCCCCATAGGGTTTCCAAGGCTATAAATCTTTCTAGAAGCGGACTGCTATGTCTTTCTCCCATGGTTGGTGGGTTCAAACCGCCAACCTTTTGGATAGCAGCCAAGCACTTTAACCACTATGCTACCAGTCTCCTTAAAGAAAAACAGTAGAGGTGAAACATACATTTCATAAATCATCTAAATATGGATTCTCACACTCAGTTTTGTTTTTTTTCGGGGGGTGGTAGGGTGGAGATACACTGAGATATAAACATAGCACTGAATTTAGTATTAAAAACTATAGCTACCCCTTTAATTAGCTCTGGTGGTGTAGTGCCTAAGGCATTTGACTGCTAACCAGAAGACTAGCCGTTCAAACCTACCAGCCACTCCTTGGAAGAAGATTGAGCAATCTACTTCTGTAGTGATACTGCCTTGGAAACCCAAGGAGTGGTCTCTATGAGTCAGATCTGACTTGACAGCAATAAGTTTGGTTTTTTGGTTTTTTTTAATTATCTATATCATACAAGTCATCCATTTTGTTGTTAGTGCAGAGGAAAACCTTAACCGCATGGCAATTTTTGCATGTGCCTGCTTGCATACCGACAGTGCTAGAAGAATTAAAAAGACTCCTTTTAATCCTTTAAATATGTGAATGCTTACCAGGTGTTGTACTTAAGCTTCTAGGAATTACGGAGGATGTGAAGCCCCAGGGCCTCATAATCAAATAAAGGTGGACAAAAATATACACCAATAAATACAATGCAAAATAATCTGTGATAATTGGAATACCAAGCACATCAATGAGAAAAGAGGCAGAGAGAAAAGGTTAAGTCCACTTGGGGGAAGGCACAACTCTTAAATAAGTACATGTTTTGTTTTTCTAAATATAAAAGTACATATGTCTCCTGTGAAAAATTTAGAAATTAGGAAAGAATACAAAGATAGGCTTTAAAATCACATGTTATCCAACAGCCCAGAGTTAGTTGTTGACATTTTTGTGTGTTTTCTTTCATTCTTTTAAAATGAATATTTGGGGAATTTAAAAATGTAGGATCAAATTGCATATTCAAAAGCCATATTCTGCATTTTTCATTTAATACTTAAAATAGGTGCTTTGTTTATGCCATTTAATATGTTGAAACATATAATTTAATGGCTACATGGTTTTGTATTGACTGGAACTACTTTATTTAGCCAAAACCCACCTGTTGGACATTTCAAGTTTTTAACTTTTCATTTTTATAAATAATACTGCCTTAATATCCTCATTCATAAAACTTTGTCAACAATTTGTTGAGCATAAATTTCCAAAAATAGATTCTCTGGCATAAAATTTTAATGCTTTTTTGTAAGATAGTGCCAGCAAGATAATAATAGTTTATACTTCCTCATCAGCACTCGACTTTCTATTTTAGTCCTGGTCAACTTGGCAGCATAAAGATATAAGATTTTTTTAAAAAATTAACTTCATTTTCTTTCCATTGAGTCAGTGTTGTTTATTGGGCACACTCATCTGAATCACCAGCAGAGATTTTAGTTTGTTTTTAAGGCATTTGTTGATTTAGTACTTCTGAAAATAATTCATGAATAATGACTTAAGAAAGGAGAAGGCACTGGCTCAGCTTATCAAAGTACAAAGATTAGTTTTGGGAAAAACAGAAAAGATTACCTAAACATTAAAAGGACCTTCTTCTGGAGGTGACAGAGAGAGAAAGCCTCGCCCTCGAGCTGGCACCCTGCATTCAGACTTCTAGCCTCCTAAACCAAAAAATCCAAACTCACTGCCATCAAGTTGATTCTAACTCATAGCAACCCCTGTTGGGTTTCCGAGGCTCTAAATCTTAGGGTAATAAATTGCCCCATCTTCCTACCAAGGAGCAGCCAGTGGGTTTGAATGCTGAACTGGTTAGCAGCCAAATGCCTATGCCACCAGAGCTCCTTAGCCTCCTAAACTGTGGAAAAATAAATTTATGTTTCTTAAAGCTACCCTCCTGTATATATCTGTTACAGTAGCACTAGATAGCTAAGACACACAAATTAATGTGGTTTACACTTTACCCTTTTAATTAGCAGAAATAAAATATTAGATTATATTCATTGTTCAGTAATATTGCCAAAAAGAGCTCTGGTGGCATAGTGCCTTAAGGCATTTGACTACTAACCAGAAGGTTCGAGGTTCAAACCCACCAGCCTCTCTGTGGAAGTAAGATGGGGCAATCCACTTCCTTAAAGATTTACCACCTCAGAAAGCAACGGGGGTTGTTATGAGTAGGAATTGACTCGGTGGCAGTGAGCTTGGTTTTTTTTTTGTTGTTTCATATTGCCTGAGTATGATCCATGGACACCTGCATGGTAGTCAACCAAGGCACTTGTAACAAATCTCTAGCAGATTCCGGAGCACACTGAAGACAGAGCCACCGCTCTGTGGCCAGCTATGCTCAACAAAGCTCCAGTGCCAGAAGGAGGAAGACTGGAGTGCTTCCCTAAGACTCGAGGGTTCTTCTCGAACCTCTTCTAAAGCAATTATTTCTTGACCCTTTCAAAATATTCCCATCCAAATATGACAGAAATAGGACATTTCATCCATACTCAAAATATCTAGAACTCCTCACAATAACAAAATGGAGAAAGTTTCAACTTGTAAGGAAGAATCTTTAACTGCTTTTGTGTGTGTGTGTGTCTGTGTGTGTAAGAATAATTTTCCTGTTCCTTACAATTCTTTCTGCTTCCTAGACCTCCATGGAAATAGTCTAAGTACCCTGTTGTTTGTTATTGTTGTTATGTGCCGTCGAGTTGGACTCGACTCATAGCGACCCCTCCTTGGGTTTCCGAGGTGGTATTACTACGAAAGTAGATTGCCCAACCTTCCTTCCAAGGAGTGGCTGGTGGGTTTGAACAGCCAGCCTTCTGGTTAGCAGTCAAGTGCCTTAGTCTAGTTTTATTTCTTCATCTGTGAAAAATGGCCTAACCTTTGTGAGCCTCTGTTTTAATATAAGGAGCTCTGGTGGTGTAGTGGCTAAAGTATTTGGCTGCTAAGCCAAAGACTGATGGTTCACACTCATCAGCCATTCCATGTGATAAAGATGAGGCAGTCTGCTTCAGAAAAGATTTATAGCCTCGGAAACTCTATGGCGTTCTACTCTATCTTATAGGGTCTCTATGAGTCACAATGAACTTGATGGCACTAGGTTTGGTTTGGTTTGGGCTGTGCTAACAATTTGAGCAGATCACCACTAACATCTTTTTCAACTTGACATTCTTTTATTCTGTGTTCTTTTATTCTATAACCAAACTATATGATTAATTATTTATCTTCTGGAGATCAGGACCTCAAAACACTAAGTGAAAATCTATTGAAATAGCAGAAGGCTGGTATTTCTTTTCCAAAAAATCCTTCCTGTTTACTTATACAACAGTGAGGAATGGGAAGGGAAGAAAGAGAACAAAGGGGAGAAGAGGAATGAGAAAAAGGGAAGAAACTCTACCTGACAAAAGCGTGAACCACCCTCTCCACAGTACAAGGACGTAACTGACCACAAAATATGCCTGCTGATTGAACTATGGTGTATAATGCTTTCTAGCCTAATAAAATGCCCTCAATGTGTGTCAATCTCTCTAAAGTAAGGTAGGTATAAAGATATTGTTGCTATTAGAAGCTACAAGCAATGAGAAAATGACATCCACCACTTTCACTGATGTAAGGAGATAGGAATTACTGTGGTCAATTACTCTCTCCGCTCAAAAGTCATCGCCTCACCTGGTTTTTGAGGTTCACATTAGCGTTTCTTCTTAAAAGGAAGGAGACAATTCTCAAATGTCCACGCCTGCAAGCGCAGATCAGGGGAGTGTCTCCATTAAAGCTATCTTGGATGTTAATATAGTTGATGTCTTCCTTTGCCCAGCGCCACACTTGACCAAAATCATTCTGATAGGCTGCCTGGCAGATGGGCTGAGTGGAGAAAAACAAATGCAGATTTTTAAATATATGCATAATTAAGCCATCAAAAATAAAATAGTTAAAAGTTAAGTGTTTCCAAGTTGCGATACATTGCTTTGAAGGTTGACTTTCTGTCTTCCTTACACCCAGCCTTTAGTCTAGAAGAAGCATAGCTCACAAGGGCTAGGAGTCTCTTCAAACTTTTCTAAATTGTTTGGCACACAGAAATATTTGTTGAATGGATGAATAAATGGATGAAATATTGCAAATTCTACTCACTAAGGAAACTAGGTATTGTGCTTCTAGACAGATGGGCTTGGCAGAAGAGCAGAATTAACTAACGATAAAATAGGCATATTAGGATAAGTTTGGGGCAGGCCTTGAAAAGCTTCAAGTCAGAAACTGTAAGCCATCAAATCTTTTAACATGTTATCTTTATGAAGCAAAGAATTTAGTTCTGATGTCAGCTGTCACCACCCAGAATAGCCCACCAGTACTTTTGGTGCCTGAAACAACAGTTCAAATGTCTTTATTGTACCTGTCTGTTGAATTGTTGTTGTTGTTATTTGCCATCGAGTCGGCCCCGACTCCTAGCGACCCCTCCTTGGGTTTCCAAAGCAGTTATCACTACGGAAGTAGGATTGCCCAACCTTCCTATTACAAGAGACTTATTTCCATTATTCTCTTCATCCATGTAATATTCTACACCTTCCAAAAACAAGATGGTCTAAAATGGTGATTCTTAATACTGGCCGCATTTTAGAAACACTCAGAGAGAGAGCTTTAAACAACTACCAGTGTCTGGGCACAACCCCACAGTAAGTAAATCCGAAACTCTCCAAGTAAAGTAACAAAGACTGCCTTAAAAGAATCACATAGACCAGGTGCATCAGTGAGCCCAGGGTGACTGCCTTGGAGCTCTCCCAGCTGATCCAGAGGCATATTGTCATCCTCTCACATTATCTGCAGCCAAGCAAGGGGTGTCCTATCAGCACATCCTTCTGATTCCCTCGGTTTCCTCTTCTGTAACATGGGGGTCATAAATTACCTTACAGGGTTGTTGTGCTTATTCTACAAATATTTCATAAGCATATATAGGGGTCCAGGTCCTAAACCAGGAACTAGGGGAGCATGGGGGAACAAGACCTTCATAGCCTCTGTCCTCAAAGAACTCAACATAGAAGGACAGATTTTAGATCGACGACACACAAATAAATTATGTAATTAGCTACAATCCATAAAATGCTGACTATAAACGACATTGTAAAAACTTTGCAGAGCCCTATGGGAGTTTAATAGCAAAGCCTCAGCGAGCCTCATCTTGTCCACATTCCTCTCTCTGCTAAAGCCCTTCCAGACTTCTCTTCATTTTTTGAAATCCCCCATCCTTAGCCCCTTGCATCTCTTCCTCTGCCATTACTACCCCACTCCATAAAATCATTTCCCTCTTTCTAGATACTCACTGCCATGGAGTCGGATCCTACTCATAGAGTCTTCCTTGGGTTTCCAAGGTGATATCACTATGGAAGTAGATTGCCCAATCTTCCTTCCCAGGAGTGGCTGGTGCGTTTGAACCGCCAGCCTTCTGGTTAGTAGTCAAATGTCTTACGCACTTACACCACCAGAGCTCCTAGATAAATAATCATTATTCATCCCTCAGGCTGAATTTTCATTTTCTCCCAGAAGTCCATCCTGCCTCCTGTTACTCAGTATTTCTCCTTCACAGCAGCTTGCATAACTGAAATTATATTTTCTTATTTATAATCATTTGTTCTAGGCTAGCCTGTATCAGGAGGGGTTTGAGGCAGCACTGAGTGAGGGAGGCCCTGAATTTCTGAAGATAAACTCCTAGTGGGGAGAGGCCATATCCATTTGATTCACTCCTATATTCCTGGTACATACTACAGCACTGGCACATGGTAGGCAGACATTAAATATTTTTATACTGACTTCAATGAGATCATGCAGAAAAAAAAAACACTAGATGGCACATGGATGGGGCTAGATTTATGGGAGCTGTTTGTATTGCTTATTACATCATCCTTTAGGTTATAAGCATGTCAAACTTCTCCTGTGTGCCAGCCACAGGTGCAAGGGAAAAATCTCTATATAAAAAATACATTATTCTTAGCCATGTGAAATTTATCTATCAGGTGGGGAAATAGGACAGAGAGAGAAACAATTTTAAAGGAGTTTAGGCTTGGCATAAGCACCGTTAGAAAGGGGGCAGACCAGTGAGTAAGTTGAATGGGCACATTTGCTAATCAACTCATGTTTTCTAACAGCTATATATCACAATGAGTGAGCTATGATGTTTTTAAACCCAAAGGTCTACTCACAAAAGAAACATCCTAAAGGAAAGTCAACTCAACAGCAAATAGGAGGCAAAGAAGACTCGTGATAGGAAATGAGCAGTTACACAAACCACTTTTCCTATTACCCTTCTGTGTTAGTTGCCTTCGAATTACCTTTGACTCATGGCTACCTAATGTATCATATAATGAAACATTGCCCAGTCCTAAGCCATCTTCATAATCATTGGTATGTTGAGTTGGATACAAATATTACCCTTTACTAGACTTTATTACCAATTGAGCAAAGCAGTGTCTCTGGGTGTCATCTGGCTGATGTAGAAAGCCCTGATGCAATTTAAAAAAAGACCTGAAGTTGAAAAATTGGGTTGTAGTTCTGGTTCTCCTACTGACTCCCTGCGTGCTCATAGAAAATTCACTTCCTCTGCATGCCTTAATGTTCTCAATCATGAAATAAAAGACTGAGGCAGAAGTCCCTTTGGGTTCTTACATTCTATGACCGTCATGCTTCTGGGCCTCTAATCTCTCTCCAAATGACACATCTTCCACATCATTGCTAGGGGTCTCTGGTAGCACAGTGCCTAAGGCATTTGACTGCTAACCAGAAGGTTGGCGGTTCAAACCCACCAGCCACTGCTCAGAAGGAAGGTTGGACAATCTATTTCTGTGGTGATACCACCTTGGAAACCCAAGGAGGAGTTGCTATGAGTTGGTCTGATTGGATGGCAGTGAGTTTTTTTTTGTTTTTGTTTTTGTTTTTGTTTTTGTTTTTCCCTATCAGATATATATTAGCTTTATGGAAAAACTCTTTCCATTGTTTTGATTTTTTTTTTTTTTAATTTCACCACAAACAAGTGAAAAGTTTCCCACTGGTAACTACTAATTACAAACCAGATTTTGGAAACCAGTGGTCTCCAATGCAGAACAGAAAACAGGTTGACACTTTGTTTTCTAAAAATTGTAAATTACATTCCACCATTTAAAAATCAGACTATTTTACATACTAATCTGGATTTCCACTTTCTCCTAAAAAATTGAAAGATTTGATGACACTGAGTCTGCATTCCCATAGGACACCTAGTTATTTGTTTTAGTGGCAGTGACTTCCATTCTCTACAGTCCACACCACTCTATTACACTCCACCTGGTCTATTTCACTCATCTATGTTACCTGCCTGGGGGAAGACTCCAGGAAAAAACCCCCTCTGGCTGAGCTCATCAAAATATTTATTGACTGTTAATTAAAAAGAGGAAGGGAAAAGGTAAAGAGGTATTTTTTTGGCAAAAGCTATTCAGTGCTTTTAAGTGCTTTCTCAATCCCGCTTAAGCAATAACTAACATATTATGCTGATCATAATTTGCAATCTTCCTTAGGCTTCCTATATCTTATACATAGAGTTTTTGTTTTTGAAAAGTAAAGTGTCTTCCTGACGCAGTTGAGAAACACAAATGATTTGATGCATAAATTGTAGGAACACCTAAAATAAGCCTCTGCTTGATAGACTCCAAATTGTCACTGGGGGCAGCCCAGTGCTGCAAGAGCATTGACCGCCTGCTGACTGAAGGGAAGTCCAATAGAAATATGCTAGCTGACAAACTGGGAAGGAGAAAGAAGAGGGAGCTGTCCACATGCGTTGAAGGAAGAGCTATGAATTCATGTTGGCATCTGTGGTTTCTTGAACTTAGAAGAAGAATGCTAGGTGTAGAGGAAAGCAGTCAAGAAAATTGGGAAACTGTCATGCTGATTTTGTCCCCTAATAATCTCAGAATCCTATCTATCCTCATTGACAAAGTTCTACTTCAGGTGCTTGTAGTTTCTCACCAGGACTATAGAAAAGCCCTAGCTGGTTTCAGTTCCTCCCACTTGCCCCATCCAGCCTCCAATCCATGCTCCAAACCACAGTCTCAAGTTTCTGTCAGGATACCGTGCTCAAGCTAACACCCCCACGATTCTTCAAATCCCACACATTCTGTCTTTCCATGTTTATCTCCTACCATTCCTCATGTGTAGCCCTGATCTAAGTAAATGAAGGTAGGAATTTAGGAACAGCTATCTCCCCAACTAGACTGTAAACTACGTGAGGAAAGGTTTAGTGTCAGTACTTGTTAGCATTGTATCCCCAGCACCCAAAGAAGTGCCTGACAAATCTAAGCATTCAAAATATTCTTAATAGATAAATACCAAAAAAACAAACCCACTGCCGTCAAGTTGGATCCGACGCATAGCGACCCCTCCTTGGGTTTCCAAGGCTGTATCATTACAGAAGTAGATTGCCCTATCTTGCTTCCCAGGAGTGACAGATGGGTTTGAACCACCAGCCTTCTAGTTAGCAGTCAAATGCCTTAGGCACTATGCCACCAGAGCTCCCAATGGATAAAAAAGTGAGTGAATAAATTATGTCATTTAATCCTCACAGCAATCCTATAAGGTAAGTAGTTGTCTTGTTCTCATCCTATACAGATAAGACTGAAGTAGAGGGAAGTTGGTTTTATTGCCTAAGGTCACAAAGCTAGTAACTGACAGTGGCAGGAACTAAATCAAAGGGGATTACAGCAGAATCCAGACATTATTGTTGTGTACCTCTGAGTCAATTCCAACTCATAGTGACCCTATAGGACAGAGGAGAACTACCTCATAGGGTTCCCTAGGCTGTAATCTCTCTGGTGGCATAGTGCCTAAGGCATTTAACTGCTAACCAG